TTCCCAACTGCACGAACAAGTTCTTTTTTTTTCAAGTAACCCTTTGCCAGTATTTCAAAACCATCACCGAAATTTGCCTGATGCCTGCCGAGAAGGGAGCGCTTTTGGCTGATAACAGCCAGCCTTCAAAGGGGAACCTTCAAACCTCCAGCCCTGCACCTGGGGCTTGGGGCAGCAGGTCCTGGTGGGACCCTGCCCATGGAGGGGCAGCAGAGCCCTTGTGCCCCCCGAGCAGCTCTGGGCTCTGCCTGTTCCTCGTGCTCTGCACAGGAAACGCTTTGTGACACAGCTCGCCTGTGGGCACTCGCTGCGCCAATTAAAGATTCCTGAGCTCCAGAACAAAGAGGTGCCAGCGGAACCCATGGTTTTAATCACTCGATTCATTCTCTTCCTTCCTCTACTGCTGATTTGGGATGTATGGGTTTTTCTTTTTCTTGCTTTGTTTTGCTTTGCATGCTTTGAGGCAGCTGCTCAGAAAGGCTGCTGGGGAAAGGGCAGTCTTCAAATGGGGCTGGATTTGTCTGGGCTTTTTAACTGGGAGTTGTTTTTAGAGGTGAAGAAGATCAGATGGAGCCTGCTATAACAATACAAATACTTAATTCTAATTCAGGTATGCCAAGTGTAGGGGTTTTTCTGAGAATCCACGTGTGCGTTACTAACACAAATTAATTAATGCTTAACTGTACAAGAGGGAAGGATAAGGCACTTTTTAATAATGGTAAACTGAGGTACAGGGAAGTTAAATACTTTGCTGAAAGACCAAGCTCAGACTCAACCCAGACCTTCCTCCTAACAGACTGATCTTTCTGCTTCCTGCCAACAGACTCCAGGGTTTGGGGAGCAGAATCACTTTTCTGCTCTCTTTTTATCCTGCCTCTAGAAAAGCAATGCATAGGACAGGGGCATGGAGATCCTAACACAACACAAACCTACAAGAGCAGTGATCCAAAGAGAAAGCTGCAGTGTACCCAGGGAGTGCTGCAAGGTCCCAGCAGAGAACAGAAAATCTGTAATAATGTGAGTCAGAGCTTCAGGAATGAGCCTGATGAATACATAGATTTGCTAGAGCATTTGAGCAAAATGTTTTGGAGAACATACAGGCTTCACTCTTAGTCAAAACTCTGCCTGAGCAGAAGTGACCACACCTTCTATGAAAAGTAGTTCTAATTAAAAACAGAGCATGGCTTTTTTAGATGCAAATTGTTGCTCAAAACTGAACCCCAGCCCATTTGCAGGATTCAAATTCACCCCCATCGAAAATGCCAGGAAACAAGAACATTTTCCCGCTGCCCTGTCTTGCTACTCAATGCTGTGCATGGACACAAGATGAAAACAACGACAAACCAACCTAAAATATGCCCCTAAACCCAGCATCCTCTGTGCTGTCTGTTCATGGGCTCGAGTCAGTGTTTAGAGAGAAAAGCAGCTTCTCTCCAGCCAGGCAGGACCAGCTGCCAGTGCAGCTCCAGAGGGTTTCCCAGTGAAAACAGCCCCAGAGCAGCTCTGTCACCCCCTCCACCACAGCAGGATGCTCAGGATGTGCCAGCATCCAGCCAGGGCCCCCAGGACTCCCCTGGAGCAGCACTCTGGGCTCTGACAGTCCCAGGAGAGCCCTGGAGGCACTCCCTGCCCAAGGAGAACGGAGCTGGCCAGAAATGAAAGCTCCCTCCTGAACGTGAAGGAAAGAAGGATTTGAATTTCACCTCCCGGTACGGTGGGGACAGACTGAGGGTTTCTCGTTGTAGAATGAAAGAACACAGGAAGGGAGTGCAGGGATGGAACACACTCCGAGTGCTGCAGGAGGAGCAGAACTGCACACACCAACACCCAGCTGGTCAGGGGGTGATCTCCAGCGCTGGGTGATGTGCAAGGACCACACTGCACATCCTGCACAGCCGCTTTCTGCAGAAATCTCTGACGTGCCTGGGGCTTTCTGTGAAACACCTGAGCTCGCTATGAACCATCTGCACTGATCAGCAGCCTGATAAACCACTACACAACATCTGCCTTGCTCTTCTCCTCCCCAAAAGACATTGCTGTGCACCAAAAATAATTGAGAGCTGCTGGATCCAGCAGACACTTTGGAGTGTCAGATGTGGTTAGACAGTTACTATTTGAATAATGACAATCATTTTTCTTTGCAAAGTTCAGCCTGACAGCTGAACTGAAAAGATCTCAGTCTAAGGCAGGCAAGGTGATAACACTTAAGCTACACAACCACGATCTGTGAGTGGAATTGAGCCTCGTGCTCGTGTCCCAGACAGGGAACTGGCCCATGGCAGCTGAGCTGTGTCCCCAGGGCTGCACAGGAGCCTCTGGTTCTGCAGGGGAGCACAATCAGAGCCCCCAGCCCTGGGTCACCCCCTCGTGATCCTGCCCCACCAGGGGATTGCAGACAGAGCTGCAAAGAACTACAGCTTAAATTGGGTTTGTGCTTTAAAGAGTTCATCCCAGTGCCCTCAGGGTGCTGCAGGAACTACATTCTATTTGTCAACATCTGTGGTTGTTTGGGTAACTTTTACCATCGTGGGTAGTTTGGTTATGAATAATATTAAGGTGAGGCCTTGGCTCACGAGCTTATTGCTCTGTCACCCCAGGGCTTTCAGTTGCATTTGAGGCTGATCCCTGCCTGCCAGCACTAGCCTGGACACCTGCTGCATCCTCAAGGATCTCCTGACACCCAGGGTGTCACCACTCCCGAAACAATTCCAACAGCAGTGGAGCTCTGGCCACCCCAGGCCAGCCTGGGCTCCCTCAGCGCCCCGAGAGGCAGCAGCTCCAGGAAGGAGGAACAGCAGCCTGGCCATGCCCAGGTCACCCTGGCAGAGCTCAGAACAGAAACAAAGCCCAGGACACCGAGGCTGTGGTTTAACCATGAGAGGAGGCCACAGCAGCAAAGGGACGGAAGCTGGACCGCCGGCAGAACTCCGGAGAAAGGAGAACAAGGCAGAGGGAGGAGGAAGATGGGGGAAGGGAGGAAGAGCAAAGGGAAGTGAGAGACAGAGCAGGGATTGCCCAAGAGCCTGGGCAGCAGCAGCAGCAGCACTCAGCTCATGCCAAGCCTGCTGGGGAAGCACCAGATCCGTGTCTGTCCGTGAAAATCACTGCAAGGCCTCACAGATCACTTTATCTCACAAGAGCTTTCTGGATAAAAGGGATTTAAGGGCAAAGCCTCCATAATCCTTTGGGCTGGCTTTCTTTTAATACTATAAAGCACAAACCCAAACTTTCTAGTCAGGAAAAACATGGCTTTTGTTATGTTCTGAGTCACTCTTACCCAGCAGCAAACAATGTGGCTTTTCAATTCAAGTCCTGAACATTTCAGCATGAAATGCTTTGCAAAGCCCTAAAGTAAATGACAATTGTCCAAGTCACACTTCCAGCTGATAGAAACTCACTGAGGTCAGTGAAGAGACTGCATGTGCCCCATCTTGCCTGGCCTGATTTGGGTGGCATGATTGATAAACTAATCTCTAGCTGAAATCAATTCAAGATGAACCAGTCAGCCAAGGAGAAGCCTGGGATTTCATTATTAATTGCTGCTGTTCTGCTCCTCTTAGGGAGGTTGAGTGCATTCTTGGTGAGCTGTGCTGCAGCTGGGTCTCGCTGGTCTGATTCAAAACTCAGGAAAATTAACTTTGTAGTCCACCTTGGGAGTTCTTTTAAGTGAACTGTGACTTGACTTTGAAGTTAGCTTTTACTTCAAGATTCCTTCTTTTCTCCTTCTTACACAAGGTGTGTACCAATTTTATTGTATTTTTAGAAATGTGGAAGAATCTCTCAGCTTCTCGTATTAAAATTACCCTAAATAATAGCGTTTAGTTCTCCTGTCAGAAGGATTCCCTTGCCTTGTTATCATGCTCAATTCCCTGAATGGAAAGCAAATCTCCCAAGTTAAATTTAGGACTCCACAATCTCCTGCTCAGAGAAAGGAGCCAGTAAAAACTCTCCAGATTTTCCTGTGATGGCACCAAAGCTGCATCAAGAACTCTGCAAACACAGCTAACAGAGGAAACCATCCAAACTCTGCCCACAAAGCCAGCAGTGAAGGCTGCACACATTACAGAGCATTCAGGACCCAAGCTGAAGAAAGTACAACTTTCACAGGCACAGTTTCACAACTCCAGGTAAGTGCAGTAAAAATGCCAGTAAAAATGGGTGCTTAGGGCACATCCTGGTGCCCATCCAGGCCTGAATTGCCTGCACTGAGAGCAGAGTTACTTCCTGCACAAGAACATCCTGTATTTGCAGCAACATTTCCAGCAGCCTCACTCTGCTCCCACTAAAATCAATGCTGGGTTTTGCTGCTGCTCTCTGTGACTGCAGTGTCCAGCTGCACTATTAATTCTGCATTGATTTCCTCCTGCCAGAAACATGCTTTAATAAAAGAAACAATCAACAAGATTGCCAATAGCTGCCTACCTAAGAATAAGCAGGATATGTTCAAAGAAAGCTTTACTCTAACTTATGCTCATTCCTAAAGGCTAAATCAGCTGGCTCACAACAAAGGAACAGTATTGTTTTACTTATCAATGTCCCACTGTTCATCTAGAACATCTGCAATGGTTTTGCCTGCAGCACTACCCCATTCATTACAGGCCTTGATAGATTGCTCAATGGGCTTTTTTTTTTTTTGGTACAAAATGTACAAGAGCATTTTACAAAGTGGACTTTGCCCTGATATGAAAAATATAATCAAATAACTAAGAAGCGTGTTTCGTTTCAGATCCGCCATTTTCCAAACTGGCGATGGAACCTTCGGCAAAGGGGAACAAAATGGGACCAGCTCAACGTGGCACGGGGCAAGCAGAGGGTTCTTGTGGCTGAGTGGCCAAAGAGCTTTGCCATCTACCAAAAATGGAAGGCCCAAATCCAGCCTGAATGCCCAGCAAACATCCACACCCATCCCAGGGGGCCACGCCGAGGAACCGGGGATTGAGAGCTCTAACCTCGCCCCCTCCCTCCAACCGAGCAGCCCCAGAGAGGGGCACAGCACTTACCATCATCCAGGTACGCCTGGTCCAGGTTCTGCTCCTGCTTGATGGTCACTCCTGCCGGCAGCACCTCCTTCTGCTCGCTCCCTGGTGGCCCGTTCTTGGCTGCCCGCTGGCCGGGGGCCGCCTGCTGCTGGATCACGGTGGGGTACGAGCTGGGGCTGAGCCTCTGAGCCTGGCTGGCCTGGGGCTGGCTGGATCTCGACACGTTGGATGTGAAATTTTCACAGCACATGATGTGCTGGAACTCCTGGTGGCTGCCACACCTCAGCTGCTGGTTGGTTGGAGAGTAGTGGATGACAGGAGAGGACTGCTGGTGGCCTGGGGAGTGCTGCAGCACGGCTCCAGCTTGGGCTGGAGACCCCGCGTGCACCAGCACGGACCGGTGGGCATCTGCAATGGCAACTGGTGTGGCCATCAGGTTGGGCTGCTGGTAGCCCAGCTGGCTGGGGCTCAGGCTCTTGCTCCTTTGGTAAATGACAGCTGGGTTCTGCTGGTGGTAGCGTGAGTCGGGAGAGGAGAGGCCTGAGCGCAGCTGCTGGCAAGGAGCCATGGTGGCCACGAGGCAGGAAGGGGACTCGGTGGCCAGCGTGTGCTGTGAATAGTAAGGCTGTGTTACTGTCCCCAGAGCACTGTGCACTGGACTGCAGATTAGGGCTGGATCATAGTCATCAATGGGCTCTGTTTTGATTGATGGTACTAGAATAAAGCATGCAAAGGACGTTATTCGTAACAAGCTGAGGAGAAACAGAGAGGTTTTCCTTGAAGTAACAAGAGATTTAAGCCTTTTACAAGATCTGCGTGTGTAAATTCATATGTCCCAAGCACTGAGTTTAATAAATCACCCACATGCAACCACAGGAAAGATTCATACAAGAACTTTGTTTTAAGAGATTCTTGAAAAATCTTAAATGTACTAACGAACCACAAATTGCTAAAATTGAAAAATTCAACACTGCAGCTCCTGTTTTAATTCATTTAAGGGCCATTCTGGAACACAGACAAAACAAGAAGTCATGGATAGGTGTTTCGTGCAGTGCTTCCATCTCCAAGAGACTGAATCAATAGAAATCCCAGGACATAAACAACTCCCCATCTTTCTGGCAAACATTTAACAGGTGACCAAAGGCAGAGCTGAACTATTTTAGAGCTTCTGTCTCTGCTGCACAAAGGTTCCTCAGTGCTGAGAGCTGAAGGCCCATCTGACATCATCATTTAAAAGACCATGATTTAGTAAGAGTTGTGTGAATCCTGGTGGGGCCAATGATGGTCCTCTACATTTCCAATGATTTTTTGATCATATCTTCCCCAAAACTCACTACAGAAACACCATACAATGGAAACCACACAGTGGTAATGCAAAATTCCTTTCTGGAAGTAAAGATTCCTTCTCCTAAGTGGTCTGTGTTAGGGATTGCATTGAGATAGAAGTGTGCTCCTCAATACTATTCCAGAGCAGAACAATTTACCAACTGTACAAACCCTGCACACTGGAGATACCCTATAGAGTTCGTAAATTCAGGGAGAGGACAGGAGATTTTCAGGCTGGAGGAGACCAAAATAAGAGTTGGAACAAATGTTTGCCTGTCCTTAGAGATAAATCAAATTAAGACATCATTTGAAGCTTGCATAAAATCTGGTGCTGTTATTTTATGCTTTCTGGTTTCCACAAACACAATACTCTGATTTTCTCACAATATTTTTCCCCTAGCCAAAGCTGAGAAATTCTGGGAATCTCATTAGTAATCCTGTTGCATTTATTGTGACATGGCTCACCAATCCCCCAGAGGAAGAACATCAGAAAAGCATTCATATTCTCCTCAACTAGCCTCATTCTGAAGAATATGTATTGCTTGCCTTCCTCCATCCCAAGCCCTTTCCCAGATCTGATGTTTTCTTATTGCTGGACACGTCAGAGAAGGCAACACTCATGGTTTTCAGAGGGTCACATCATGTCCCAGACTGAGCCTGTTCCCACTCAGGCTCTTGGCAAGCTTCCACCAGGGCAGCATCGGCCCATCACCAAGATAACAGATAACTGACACCTCAAACTGATGGAAATTCGTGATCATGAATCACAGGCATCTCTTATTTAAACCAAGTAGCTGTTGAGTGCTGAGCTGAATTAAATTAGCAACATTTAGATCCTCAAAGAGCGGCAAGAAAACAATAGAGCAGGAAATCAAAACTTGCTCATGAAGTTAGGCAACAAGTGGGTGATTGGTGAAATTACCTGGGTGATAGGTGAAATGCTGGGGTTGGCTTCTTTTTCTTTTGCCATTGATGACGTAGAAATTCACCTTCACGGCTGTGCGGATGTGCTTGTTCCTGTACTCGGGTACCTCCACAAACAGCATGCTCTGCAATGACAGGGACAGCAAGGAATGCAGCAGGGCTGGGCTTCTGTGTGCAGCTCCCCTTGCTACACCTCCCTGCACAGCAAGAGGGGTCCCCTATTCACCCCCATGAAGAAGGGTATGAGGAAAAAGGGGCAGATGGCAAAAGAGCAGAAGATTTTTGGTCCTGGCAAGTTGGGGTTATGGACTGTGTCCCTCCTGCACTTGGAGTTGTCCTGGACATGGAGAGAAAAGTCTACAAATAAAACGTGAAATGGTGACAAATGCAGAAGCACTCACTGGCAATCCCACAGTGCTTGATAAAGGAGTGTGCACTGCAGAATTCCCACTTTTTGTCACAATAACTCCACTGCTCTGCAGGCTCCTGCTTTCTGCACTGCAGACCCCGCTGGCACCCGGGGCAGGCCCATGGCAGTGCCACTGCTGGCTCCTGACAGCTCTGCCCACAGCAGGGGAACCCAGAGAGAGGCTCCTTCCCTCCCAAAATCAGTGTTCAGCTGCAGCCTGCAGAGGACACAGCTCCCAGGCTGGCACAGGGGGAGTGAGGACAGTGTCCTGCAGAGCTGGGGCTGGCACTGTGGGGTCTGCAGGACACAGATCCAGCAGTGGCTGCCTCTGCTGGGGGCTGCTGCTGCAGGAATCGATCCTTTCTGCAGCACACACTGCTCATCGTGGCATTGCTGCTCTTTCTGCTTCTGAGATGCTCTTTGGAAGCTCTGCACAGCAGCTGCAGGACAGCACACCCAGTGCTTGCATACTTACAGGCTGGCTCTTATCCTTGTCCACCGTTGCCTCCATTTCCCAGATCTGCTGCCCATCTAGAAGAATATCACAGCATTAACCTCACTGTGGGGTTTTTTTTAACTCATAGAACTTATTAAATAACAGAGAGAGAAACAAATCAAGGGCATTAAATTAGCAAAGATCTCAAAATGGAATTAATTTCAAGCACCTTCCCAGTCCTAAGCAAAAGCAACAGCAATTTATTTAAACACATCACTGAACACTTCTCTTGCCAGGAAAGAGCTTACAAACATATTAAAATTAAATGTTTATGTAGAAATTAGCCAAACTGAGGAATGAAATATTTAGCACAGGTGCAACATCTGCTTTTCACCAGGCCTGGGTCCAGCCAGCCTGACTGGAGGAGGGCACCAGGGGGTCACAGAACTCCCTAATGGTCACACTGGTCAGCAGCTCAGCAAACTTTCTGCTGCCCTAAGCCAAGATTCCCATTTGGATTCCCACAGAATGCCACTGACAGCCCTAAATCCGTGGTAAAGCACCAGATATTCACTGTACAGAGTGCAAAAGCACTTCACTGTATGTGGGACAGCCTCTACCCTGAACACTGCAAGCTTTGCTGCCCTCAATTATTACATCCACGCAGCTCGTCTCCATCCTGACTTACACAAAATTACATTTAGAGACGAAAATAAAATTTCATCCCCCTGTCTGGAACACCACCACACTAACCCCTGTGCTGTAAGATGTATCAGTAGTGACAGGACATTCATTTACAGACTGCCTGCTTCCTCTGGTTACAAATATTCCTTAAATATAGAAACATTTTTTTGCAGTGCTTTCCTTATTTTTTTTATTTTTTTTTTTTAGGTTTTAATCTTTACCCCTTTGATTCTCATACTCCATTGAGCCTTTTAGCCAAGCAATTTGCAGAAGTACTAATGGGGGCAAAAAAAATTGCCTCATACCTTTCTGAAAGCTTGCTTTTAAACTGGCCAGGGGACATGGATCCCAAGGACCTGATGGACTGGGAGTGCTGCAGCTGTCTGCTTTAGGGGAGCAGCTCTGCCTGCTTTGGGGCTTTCTAGAACGAGGGGGAAAATCTCCTAAACCCAGTCCTTCTCACAGAGCTTTTTATTTTTCCCAACTCTTGGAAGTTCTGCAAGAGCTGCCTTTGTCCTCTGTTATTTAAGCACTTCTGCTTCTGGCGAAAAGGGAAATGAAAGAGTATTTTTAAATGCATTTTGCATTTTTTCTGTTGTCGTGCTCTTTGTTCTGTGCTGGGCCCAGACAATGAGCTGACAGATGTGCCAGCTCTTGGGCAGCCTCTTCCCCAGCTGGGCTCTGGGGCCAGGACACAGCCCTGGGGTCCCTGTCTGCCCTGGTTCTGTGGGGACAGAACCTCAAACCTGCTCCCCACACCTGGGACAGAACCTCACCTGCCCAGCTCTGGGGACAGAACCTCACCTGCCCAGCCCTGGGGGACAGAACCTCACCTGCTCCCCACACCTGGGACAGAACCTCACCTGTTCCCCACACCTGGGACAGAACCTCACCTGTCCCCCACACCTGGGACACCTCTGGGTACAGGCAGCTTTTCCTGGAGCTCTCAGCCCCCAGCCCTCCCTCCCTCGGGATGGGGCAGGGGGACACCCAGCCCTGCTGGGCTCCCTCACCCCCATCCTCCCCTGGGGAATGTGGCTCCACAGGAGATCCCAGCTGCTCCTGCTGCAAGGAGGGAACACTGAACAACTCCGAGTTTTCTCTCTGTTTTGAAGTGTTCCCTCCTGTGAGTCAGTTGTCTTTCCTTCCGTGGGGCTGAGTGGCTGCTGGGGCTGTGTCACTGGAGCCAGCACATCCCAAGGGGCTGCTGCAAAGGCATGGAAAAGATTCCATTTTTTAATGTCATTTAACAGAAGCATCCACTTTGGCCAGGGCTATATTCAGTCTATGGCCCTGTTCATGCAGCCAGCTCCTCGCTGCTGTTGGGACACAAACAGGGAAGGGGGAAGCCAAAATACTGGAGGGTTAATCCAGCAAATCCTTGTCTGATTATGAGGCAGTAAATGCTCAGTGGGGAGACTCCTCTTCTAGGTGACCTTTGAGAAAATAAACCATCCCAGTGTGTGTTAAGGAACCTCCCCACACTCCTAGACACCCCAAAGGATAATTTTTAGAGTTCTCTGAGGAAAAAAGAACAAGAAAATACATCATAAAGTAAGAGCTCTGATAGAGACACACATCAGAGCTGTCTCAGCAATGCCACATGAAGATGTCCTGGCAACAAGGACAGCCAAGCAGGAATATTTGACACTGGTTTTGCTCCAGGCAGAATGTTTTCATCTTTGTTTCTGTGCTGCTAAATTCAAACAGTCTGTGCAGATACAACAGCACAAGCTTCACAAAGGAGGTGGAAATCAAAAGGATTTGTTGGTCCAAAATGCATAAACTAAAGCAGAAACGGGCCTCCAAGTCATGTGCCACATTCAAGAAGCCTGGGGAACACATGCAACCACAACCACAGGGGATTTGATTTAGTAACTGAGCCACTGAAACTGCACTAAAAGCTAATGAAGCCAACCATAAAAATCAAATTATGTTCAAGCTGAGTCCAAAGTCTGTGTGTGGGTCAAAAGTAAGAATGAGAAAAAGCAAACAAGAAATGAATGTATTTGGGGTTATCGTTCCAACAATGATAGATGCTTCTGTTTGGATATATTCCATATTTGTGGCAGCTGAGCAGGTTTCTAACAGATCTGTCAGCAGCAGCAATCCCTGCTCTTTGAGCACTGAAGCCCTGTTGAATGTAAGCACTCTGCATTCGCTCCCTGACCTTTATGCTTAAATATGATGATGTGGCTCCATCTGTCTCACTGCCTCACTTTAGCTCGAGACAATCAATATTTGCTTTTCCTTTAGCTGCTCTGGATATGCACATTATGGGGAGCTTTTGGCAGAAGGATGAGGGAAAGCTGTGAGGAAAATGAAAGATGCAACTGCATTCAGAAATCTCTCTCTACTTTAACCTGTTCTTTCTCCTGGTAATGAAAAGAAAACTTTTGATAATGCATGTTCTGGGAGCTACTGGAGAGCAGGAGGAATAAACTGAGAAGTCTCAGGATCATTTCAGGAAATTCTGAATAGAGAAAACCTGCACCAAACTGTCAACACATTTATCACCCTTAGAACGTGCATAAATGCAAATTTTTTTAGGAGGGAATTAAAGTGGATGTTTGGAGAAAGTCCTCAACAAAAAGGGGATTATTTTTTTAAGGATGTACTAAAAATCCCAAGGCTGATGTGACGGTGGAGGACAGCCCCCAGCACAAAACCTGTCACACCAGAGGCTCTTCCCTGGAACCCAGGTGGTGCCTGGGCACCAGAAACATCTTCAGCTTTGAGCAGCAGGTTGTGCTCAACCCTCCAGACCTTCATTACCTTAATCAACCCTCTGGCCTTAATTACCCCACAATTCTGGCAGGCCACAAAGGGGACAAACAGCTCCTGCCTGGAAACCCAGAAGACTAAACCCCAGCTTGACTAATAATTTAATCTAAAGTCTACAAGTGCAGATAGCTGCTTACTGCACAGAATTAAACCTGCCTCAACAATGGACAGGACAGAGAACTGCAAAAGATCACTCAGGGACCCAGGTCCACGTGTGTGGTGCCTTTCAAACTGTACCTCCAGCACAGGGAATTCAATCCCTGGTCTGGAAAGGGCAGCAGCTGCACTCAAGATGATAAAATATTCTTGGATTTAGACCCTGAGGTCTTACCAGCCGTGGCTGCCTCATGCAGTATTTTTACTGTTGTGGTTCCCTGCTCATTTAATGGTTTGTCTTCGTTGGCAAGTCTTTAACACCACAGGTCAGTGAAATGTTCAGGAAATAGACATTTTTGTGCTGCTTCAGGGCTATGAGACTTAGCATTAAACCCCGATGAGAGATCTGATTGTGTCAGCACTCTTTGGGGGAATGAATGAGTTGTTGGAAGAAAGTAATTCTACCCTTTCTAACTCAAACTGCGACCATACCAAAAGTCTTGCTTCAAACTGGGGGAAATCAAAACGTCAGTCTGCATTAGGAACATTCTGTGTGATTCTCTGCAGCCCCTCATAGGACTTTTTTTAATTAGCCAATTAAAGGTTTTCTGAACCAGTTACAGCCTTTACACATTATTCAGGATCCCTTACTCATGACTTTGGGGTCAGTAACTAGCAGAGAAACAAACTCGCTGCTTTATTTGAACAAGTATGACTGATGGACTGAGAGGCTCAGGAAATGTTCTTTGCAGCTCTCTGAAGCTGAAGACTAAATATACTATTGTGCTGATTCTGGATGGGATTCCATGCCTGCATGTGATTTTAGGCCTGCAAATGCACATTGCTTTTCAGTCAAGGATTACACAAATTAATGAACAACCTGTTCCTGGTTCCCCAAAGAAAGCGAGCCTGGTGAGCAGAGGGGCAGGGCTCTGACATTTCTGCACAGCCCCCTGGGCCTGCAGGGAATTGTCCCCATTCACTCTGATTCTTGGAAGCTCTTCCAAAAAAGCACAACAATTATCTCTGTCAGCTTTTATCAGGAGATGACAGACATCTCTGGAAAACAAAGAAGGGTTTTTAGAGCCACCCCAAGAACAAAGGGAGAGCAGTGAATGGTTTCCAGTAGGACAAAACCACTCTGGGAAGCAGAAACCTTAAAGGGATTCACCCAGAATCATTGCTGCTCTGGACAAATTCCAGACAAACTCGGGGACAAATTCTGATTTCAGCTGGGAAGTTACTCTGCTTCAAGTCAGCACAAGGTTGCTCAGCATCTGGTCCTGCAGCTGTCTCCTTCTAAGCTATTACTTCAAAATAATGTTCAAACTTCCCATCAAACACAGCATGAACGGATTTAAAACTCATGAAAAGTAGAACTATTAAATTTATTCCTTTTTTTCCAAGGATTTCTGTTTCTTTCTGAAGCAAGACTGCCCACTGCAGTTAATGGAGCTCTGTTTGCTATGAGCAGAGGCCAGTGCCTTCCCTGCACTGAGGACACAAGTTTGAGTCACCAAGGCCAAAGATA